TAGGAGATAGAAAAGAAACTTCAGTTATACAATAGTAATGAACTCATGTATGAGACTAAAAGCGGGATACAGATTTTCGATAATAGAGACATATTGTACAAGATTACAAGTCTTATTTTAAAGTATGCATAATATCTTACTATCATATTTACCTACTTGTGTGCATTTTCGACGTTAACAAGGACACTTTTAGACTCTCTAAAATAGTATACTTTTAAACTATTATTAGGATGCTTGAATGTTATCTGGGAGGACATGGATGGATGACCGATATGGGCTTCGGATTCAAAATTATTGAGGGAAGATTCGCGAAAGTTTTGGAGTATGTTTGACAATCTTCGATTCCTAGCAGTTTATGAGACATGAAAAAATTAGGAATTAGTTTTTTTTATGAAAGCTACGCGGAAAATTTTTAAGCGGATATTTTTACATTATATCAAGGTTTATGCAACGTTAATTCAATGTTTCTTAATGTTATTACAATATTGCAATTACATTGTTGCAATTCGACATTTTTTCAATATTAATTCAACATTACTGTGCTATATGGATGCTGAATAATATTTTTCTTGATTTTAAATTTTAATTATTTTTTACTGAATTTTATTAAAACTTATTAAAATTAACTAAAATTTCGTTGATTTTCAATGAATATTGCTGAAATCATAATAAAAGTGAGTCAATTGATAGAAGTTTTCAGCAAAATTTCAGCATATTTCATTATGTTTTTAGCAAATTTTATTACATTTTTAGCAAAATTTTTCTGTCAGGGCCACCAAAATATCGTTACAGCGTACTGGCATCACCAGTTCCCGTATGATTGTTGACGTTAGGCATCGCAACAGCATGGTCATCTAAAGATGGTGGCCGCCTCTCACAGGATCGAAACCACACCGCATCTCACGAATAAATGCTTTTTTTTATTATTTAGACAAAATATTTCGTTATACTTTCCTCAATCTATTAATAACAATTTTGCACTGAATTTTTCTAAATTTGTACTAAAATACCCAAGAAAAAATGTCTCTTGGATGTCTTATATGAAGTCTTTCGGATGTTCAATATGGCGTTCTATAAGACGTCAAAAATCGGGACATTAGATGCTTTAAAAATGTCTTTAAGACGTCTTTTTATTAAATTAATAGGGCGTCCACCAATTTTTTAGACGTCTTTAAGCCATCTCAATGTTTTCTGGGAATATTACATTAAGATTCTACTGACTTTATTTTCTGATAATTACATAGAATTGGAAAAAAAATAGTTTTTAAAAGCTTATTTATATTAAACGCTTAATAATAAGCTTAATATTAAGCTTATAAACATACAAAAGTGAAAATTTTGGGAAAAGTTAAATAAAATTTCACACACGCACACACACACACATACACACACACACACACGCACACATAAAACACTTGGCGTGCCAGGGTAAAATTTCACACATACACATAAAACATTTGGCGTGCCCATTCTTTTAATGCTACTTATACAACGTATAAACATTTTCGTCCAAACATTTTCGTAAAATATTAAAAGTATTAATGCGATTCCCTCCTGCACGCCAAGTATTTTATGTGAAGTTGGTCCTGGGCTGCCGTATGGTACGCATCGTGGTGTCTGGCCTTTCACATCCCAATGTGTGAACTTTATCTACTCTGTGTTTTACCTTCGGGTCTTGTGACTTTACTGTTTTGACCTGGTTTAATTTTGGACTTGATTATGCTCTGCTTTTGGGTTTTACGATTCGGATTCATCTGGTTTTTTTCACAATCTTTCGTGTACTTGGGAGTAAACGTGGTAAGCGTGGCAGTCACGTGATCTCGGGGTACACGTACTGTGTACGTGTATATTATTTCGTGTATATTAGTCACGTAACCACACGTGTCCTTGGAAGGGCAAAGAACAAAGGAGACGGAAAAAGCAGGAGATAAACAGCAAGTGATCCCTATCAAACCTCCTGATGAAGAAAGAATGGACGTACAGCCTATTTTGGATAGCGAGGAAACCGCTTCAACTAAGGGAAGTATGAAATCTATCACTTTTACTTCCGCTACTTCTAGAAAAGTTTCCGCATCTGTTTCTAAGTGTGATCCTACTTTAATTAAGACTACTGAACGTCTGAGAAAACGATTAAGCTCACTGAATATTGATCCATTTAGTATTGTTAAGAAAACTTCGGGCTACGTGGTATCTCTGATATCCGAGTCAAATCCCCATCTATCTATAAGAAAAGTGGGTTACCTATCAAGAGCCTCGTTCAGACGACAATGCTCTTGGCCCCTTCTTCTTTAATTTCTTCCAAAATTATTCCTTCTTCCTTTAGCTAAGCTGATAATGCTATTGCTACCCTTAATTCTGTCATTGCCTCTGATTCTACTCTATTGTTTCCTTCTGCGGAAACTGATTATGTGGTTTTATTACGTGCGGCTCTTCCCAGTTCAGTGGGAGATCATTACAAAAATGGATGTAAGGGGCTTTTTGTGGTATTTATAGAAAAAATTAATTGTAATTCTACGGATATGTATTCTGTTAACGTCTTAAAACTAGTAAAAGCACTTTTTGATTTAGGATCTCTCGGTGTTTATATGTCTGTTGCTTACGACTTTAAAAAAATCGGTAAAAATAAATATGTTACTTACTTTTTAACAGGAGATCTTGCCAATGCCTTTGTCATAGAAATGTCTAAGTTTTTCGACAGGATTTTCGATAATGAAACATGGGTTATGTATATTCCAGATTTCAGAGTGAAAAAAGAAGTTATTCTAGAAGGGACTGATAAACTTGGACTTGATTTTAACTTTATAAAATTACATCTGTGTCCTACGCATAATTGGAACGAAGAATGGCGCCCTCCAATCTCTGTTGAGAAGCTTCGAAGAAGAGACGAGGATCCCTCAGTGCCTGGCGGCTCTAAATTGATTGATA